AGCCCTACCTTCCATCTTCAACTTCTATTCAAGGATCAAAGTCTAATTCACCACTAATCAGGAGTTACATCAAGCTAAAGTTGGCTCGGTCAAACTGGAAAATGTATTTATGACTTAGAAAAATTTTCAAGTGCTGCATCAGCCTTCAATACTGACTTGTGGGTCCTTTTTGAACATATTGTGCATATTTTCATGACTTGGCTTCTAAACAAAGTTTGTTCCTTATAAAATTTGCTACAACTTTGCTTTAGGTTGCTCAGACATGCAAACATCCTAAGCTACACTTTTTAAACAGTCAAACAAAAGGGTTTAGGGGTCAAAATTGGTCAAACCATAACTTGGGAACCTAATTAGTCAAAATGATCAACATGAACAATGTTCCAAATGACATTCTAGGTATAACTAAGTTACTTAAAAGAATTTTTAGCCAAACCATACATTGGTCACACAAGAATCAAGCAAGGTATGTACTGAAACAATGAAAAACACATGAAATGTTACATTTGTTTCATAGTCATGTTTCCCATGTTTCATGATCTTGTTGCATAGTACTAACTAACCATGTTTCACTAAAGTAGGTGACATGTTGCACTTGAGTGTTGCACACTATTTATTTCATAAATCAACACATACATGAAATATGACAATATGTTGCAATGTTTCACAAGCATGTTTCATACAATCTAAGCTCATGAATGGATGAATGATACTCATGCTTATGAAATGCAAGTGCAAATGTGGAAGCTAAACACCTGGGGTGTTACATATTCGATGCAGCTGTAATTGCTCCCGTAATATCATTTAGTCGGATATATATAAATGGTACCATTATAAGGTAACACTAAAAATAATAGCTTGGAATTATTAATTACCACGAAAGAGTTTTTTTGATGAATATTATTTTTCTATCTCCAATCGCTAATGGTGTTCGAGCTAACTACGTTGTGTTGAAAATAAAATTTTAAAGAACAAAATACACTTTGATAGTTTATAAATGAAATTAATCCCAAAATACAAAGTTCGAGGACTAAAACGATCATCTTCATAGTTTTAGGATGAAATTGAGCCCAAAAGTAGAGTTTGAGGGCTAAAATGACCATTTTGAAAGTTCATGAACGAAACTGAGCCTCGAGAAATAGTTGAGGGACCAAAATAGCTATTCTGCCTATCTAAAAGGCTAAAACATTTTATAATTTGGATTGGAATGGAGGAGTATATATTATAACTTAAAATAGTTTGATTCTCAAAAACAGAAAAGTTTTCGCGGCTGAGGCAGTAGAATAGGCAAGGCTCCTTTTTATATACAGAAGCAAACAACACTCCGGCTAAGTGCTAGCTCCGAATGAGTCATCTGCAGCAGCACATACACAACCATGTCTGGCAAGGTCTATTATTATGTTTTTTGCCAGAAGCCCGATCGCGGGCGTGGTTAAGTAGGGGTGTAATTGACAGGATACAGACAGATACTATTGATTCTGTGCGTGATAACAAGTATAATTTATCGGTGCTTGTGCCAATAATAATAAGCTAGCAATTTTTCATTAATTTTTTTAATTTAGCCTAACCTTATATTACAGTAAATGATTAATCCTATATGAAAAATTGATATGAAATTGACTCAACTTAAACATGTAGCTATTGTATGCACATGCGTGAGTTTAACAAAGGTTAAAAGTGAGACATACGCCCACACACGTGTCAAGACGCGAATGAGCTTAGAGAGCCAAAACAAGAGATGAGTGGTGTAACACCAATGAAAGATTTATAGCTAAAAACTCAAAGCAGGGACGATAAGAATGAAGGACGATGATCCGAGAGACAGAGAGGAGTGAGCAAGGGACGAAGGGGTATGAGAGAGAGTAAAGAGAGTGAGAGATGGAACAAATCCAAACTCAAAGAAAGATGCAATGAGAGATGGAAGAAATCCAAACTCAAAGCGAAAAGCTTCCATGGACAAAGAGAGTGAGTGAGGGACAGACAGATGGAGAGCGAAGAGAGTGAGAGACAAAAGAAAGAATTTTTTGTTATTTAATATTAGCTACAGCTTTTTTTTTCTTCCAAATTTAGAGTGGAACACGGATAGTTGTTGAATACAGTACAAATATGACCCCGATTACAAATACAAATAATCATGTTCCCAATATGGGACAAGTCGAATGAATAGTTTTGGTTACAAATATTTATTGGAAATAAGCAAACTAATACAATAGATAATAGCATCAGGTGCATTGGCATGACATTTACTTTAAGCCTGTTGTCTTTTGGCACTCGATTTTTTAACTCCTTTTGATACTCGATTTACGTGACATTATAACTTATTGCGTAGTCATAACGATTCGTAACTAGGTTCATAACATAAATGAGTCAAACAACTCTATGAAATATATTATTATTTTTATTATCACAAAATGCAGGGAAATGAAGATGGGAACATGGGAATTAAAACAAATATATAAAAGAAAGAAAAGAGCAGGAAATATAAGCGTTGGAATATTAAATGTATAAGAAGGGACAAAACAAAATAAATATAAAAAATACTCCCTCATTCTAAATTGTTTACTATCTAGGTATACAACATATCTAAGTGTATAATAAAACCTATATATCTAAAAAAACTAAAATAATCTATAGATTAGGAATGAAAGGAGTATATTACTACAAATAATACAAATAGAACATTAAAGGAGTTGTGGTAGCGAGCCATGCGCACAGCATGCAATGCAACATGTCAACACCACAATGCAACATGTCGACAACACAACAGCGAACTGCCTAGCTGTAGGAGTAGAACTTTAGTCCCATCTAATAAGGCAAGACATGGTGTAGCGAGAAGACCAAATAAGCAAACCGGACATCATCTCAAAAGATTGCTACTTCCTCTGTTTTGAAATATAATGTATTATAACTTCTAAAATTCATAATGTTGAGATGATATATGGTGTATAAGGTATTCTATATGGTGTCTATGCTCAAATTTAACAAAAAAAATTGCTAAAGGAAACATAATACCTTCTTAATTAGGTTTAATTCACGGGCACGTGTCATTTGGATATTTCTTAAGTTATTTTTAGAATAAATACTACTCTCTCCATTCTAAATTATAAGACGTTCTAATATTCTAGGTACATAAATTTTGTTATGTATTTATATATACACTTATCTAGATATATAGTAAAATCAAGGGAAAATTTGCTCCTGCTGAAAGTGACCTGCCTTTGATAGCCGACACCCAAAATGGAGCCATTTGTTGGTGGACATTTTGTTTTTTGTTAAATTTGCTGGTGGACACCGTGCCCAATAAAAAATATTCATTTCTAGCTTTGGAGGAGAGAAAAGAGAAATAAGGGCAAAACGACGTCTTATAATTTGAAATTAAGGTACACTTATATCTAGATTTCTTAGTAAAATCAATAAATCGAGAAAAATCAAAACGTCTTATAATTTGGAATAGAGTGGAGGGAGTATTAGAGAACGGAGGGAGTATGTTTTTTCCTTTCCTCCGGTACTCATACTCATAAATATAACAATAACTTATATTAGAAATAATAATTTTTTTGATATTTGTCGGTGTTAATAGGATATATCCAATTAAATTGCTGGATATTCGACTAAGATATTTAGGCCCCGTTTATTTTTTCCTTTCCTCCGGTACTCATACTCATAAATATAACAATAACTTATATTAGAAATAATAATTTTTTTGATATTTGTCGGTGTTAATAGGATATATCCAATTAAATTGCTGGATATTCGACTAAGATATTTATTATACTAGAAATACTGTATTTCAGAGATCTTAAATTGGCACTCAAATTGATATTTAATTCTTTTATTATAGGTCCGTTCGCACACCTACTGTCGGGTGATATTTCAGTGTTCCACGTCCACAGCCACAACCACAGGGAGAGACGAGATGAGATTTGACGGTTCGCCGGGCGTGCAGAGGGGTGATAGGCCCGAAGACGATCCCGTCTGGACGTGGAAGTCCAGGCTTGGCCGCCCGCCCACCGCCGTCGCCGCCTCGCCTCCCTGCCTACACGTGCGGATTGACCACGAGCTGCCTGTCGACGAATCTCTCCCCTCGCACTGTACGTTTTTCAACGTGTTCAGTGTCTCGCGGTTTTCAATGTGTTCGGCAGACCTTTTTCTGCCACAGCACGTTTTCCCCCCTTCGACATGTGGTTCAGAAACGTTTCTTCGTCAGTTAAAAAAAAACGTTTCTTCGTCCATAAGCATAACATAACTCCTGCATACAGCACCTTGCTAGCTGCAAGCCTGCAAAACAACGGGTCCAGACCAGACGTGCAGACCATTGTTTTCTCCTCCTTTTTCTACAAGTGGTGTGCTGCTGCTGATATACCCCTGTACTTTTTCAACACGCAGTATTTTCTCCACAACAAATCCATCAGCCAAGCAAACGGGGCAATAGCAGAATACAGACGAACAGCACTTCTTCAGACGAGACCAGAAGAATGACCAAAATAGCATAATTCCCCTTTTTTTTCCTTTTCATTTTTCAATTCAAAGAGCCAACAGCTACAATATATATATTATATACTGTACTACTCGAAGCTTGACGATGACGAATGGAGTATATATGGCCTGCACTACCTACCCCCATTGGAGATTGAAACAAACCCTTATAAAAATTACTGCTACTATAACTGACCAATGAAGGAACATGCACTGAACCAATCATGTACAAGAACACACACATGCCGCGCACGATCGACCACCAAATACCCAATGCACTGTGGGGGCCACACGGTCTCATTGCCGCCTCGATCTCAGTCTTATCCAATCCAGCTACAGTTCATAACCTATCTCCTCCTTACAAGTCAACAATGGCGGCTCGCCTGAGTCAAGCCCACACCGCGCGGTTGCATGCATTGCGCTGCCCAGGACAGATCAACCAACCAACCGCAGCCGGGGATGGGTGTTTGCATCCATGCTTCGCCTTTTTTTTTAATTCCCCCTTGATTGACGATGAGCGTCGTCTTCTAGAACGGCTTGCCCCAGTACATGAGGATGTCCTGCAGCAGCGGGTCGCCGGTGTGGCCACCGACGATGGGGTCGACGAGCATGGAGCCGGCGGGGTTGACGGGGTCGGAGGCGAAGGTGCGCTCCCACTCGCTGATCTTGGGCTGGCTCTGCACCTCCCGGTCGCACGCCAGCTGCTCGGGCGACAGCACCTGCTCCGAGCAGCTAGAGTCCGCGTGCAGCCGCGGCATCGAGTCCGACGGCCGGTCGTAGTACGCCGCCAGGTCCGCCGGGAACGCGGCGGGGGGCAGCCCGCCCGGCGCCCCCAGGAACGGCTTCTGCTCCGGCGGGGAGCTCACCGCGGCCGCGGCGAACACCGGCTTGTGGTCGCCGACGACCGGCGGCTTCTCCAGCCCGCCCTTCTTGTTGTAGATGCGGCACAGCACCCAGTCATCCAACTGCACCCATCACCGGAATAAACAATTTGTCAGATGCATGATCACGTAAGCACTAGTGCAATTGTGCAATCTGATAAATTAATGAACTAATATAAAGAATCTCAAAGCGTCATTTCGATGTCTAACCCTAGACCCCACAAGAACTTTATTCGTTCATACATCCGGTTGTTCTTTGCTGCCGTCGCCGTCGCAGGGAGCGACGGACGAAAACGATTGGTTCGCCATCAGCCATGGCATCGAATGCTTCGACACCGAGGACAGCGACCCATTCGAATCATTTGGGCAAGTTGCGCCGGTGCAGCCCCCCTAGCATGGCCCATCCCGAAAAAATTCAGCGGCCCAAAACCGTGGGCTACGCTTATCCCCGCATTCATTTCGACAGCAACACATTATCGTCGAGTTCTTCGTTTTCTTTTTTGTTTGACGCGACGATGACACGAATTTACGTTACGTTCGTCGTCGACACGGACGAACGGACGGACGGCGGCGGCGAGGTGCTTTGCTTACCCTGAGGCTGTTCTTCTTGCGGGCGGAGCGGTCGACGTCGGCGAGGCGGTACTCGTGCATGATCCAGTTGGTCTTCTCGCCCTTGGGCGCCTTGCCGGCGTAGAAGACGAGCGCCTTCTTGATGGCGAGCGGCTTGGGCGTGCCCACGGGCTTGTCGGCGCCGGTGGCCTTCCAGTAGCCGGACCCGGCGGAGCGGTTGGGTCTGGACCCGTTCGGATACTTGCGGTCCCGCGGGGAGAAGAAGTACCACTCCTTCTCGCCGTACAGCGCCATCCCTGCACACACACAAATAATTAGATCACGTCATCAATCGACCAGCCCGACCACCATCATCACGGCCGCACAGAAAACTGAAAATTTTCACGGCCGGCTGGCTGCTTTAAGCAGATGGATCGAGGACGTACTGGGGAGCTGCCATGGGTCGAACTTGTAGAGGTCGATCTCGGCGATGATGGGGACGGCGATGGGCAGGCCGGCGCAGCGGCGGCAGAGGTAGTGCATCACCAGCTCTTCGTCAGTCGGGTGGAACCGGAACCCCGGCGGCAGCTGCAGATCCTGAACGCCGCCGCTCATCGTGCTCCTCCCTCGCTCAATCGCTGCCGGCTGCTCTGCTAGTCGACGCAGTCTCTCTCTGCTACTGCTGCTGCTGCTGCTAATGGTAGGAAGAGGGGAGGAGGGCTTGAAACTTGTTACGGGTGCGGAGCCGGGCATTTATAGCCGCGGCCGACCGCGACACGTGTGGCCCGTGCGCCGGCCCCCCGCGGTAGCGCACACGTGGAGCCCCGCTCTGACCGGTTGACCGCGATACATGGACGCCGAGAGGCGGCGCCAATTCTGTCACTGCTTACGTCAGCCTTCTTGGACGGACGCGCGCTCGCGTCAGCGTGGCGCGGGTCCACCGCTGGGCGCTGTCCCGCCCGAAAGGCGCCCGGGGACCTTCCGGTGGCGGCGCGACACGTCGGGGCGGCCAGCGGTGGGGCGGCCGGGAGAGTACGGATGGCGCGGTGCGGCCGCGGGGTGAGCGTGATGGCCTGATGGGGGAGGATAAGGATGAGTCGACGGCGACGCTGGAGATGATGAGTCAGGCCCCCAGGCCAGGAGTTATGCGCGCGGTAGCTGCGAGTAGTTGGGAGTTAGTACCACGCCCGGCCGTTTTCTTTTCTTTTCATTCAGGAGGAAAAAAAACGAAGATAAGGGAGAGCCAGCTAGCTGATTTTGGAGCATTTAGGATTATGATTGCTATGAGATTTTGATCCTTAATTGAGCATATAAAATTAATTGCTACAACCATAATTTGAGATTTATATAGGAATCAAATGGACTAGCTAGCATCGTCCCTAGCTTTGCTTATCATAGAGATATGTATCAGGGCACCACCATACGTAAGCCTATGGCTAAAATAAATGTGAGAAAGTGTAGACTGCTTGTACTCCATCCTGATCTTTCTATAAAGCGTATTAGGATTTGAAATGCCATCAAAATCATTTTTTGGTCATCAATTATACAAAAAGAACGGTTTGAATTAAGAGTTACCTATAATAATGTGAATATGTTCTTATAACCTACTCTCTCCATCCCAAATTAAGTTGGGAGTCTAGGACTCCACGAGTAGACCAAGGTTGTTGGAAAATTACGCTTTTACCCCTATAGAAAAGGCTTGGATATTCTTGTTGCATCAAAAGTCTCGTCGGTTTTTTCTATCTTTTTTTAAAATTGATTTTTTATTTTTTAGTCTCACGCTGGTCCGCTATTGATCTTTTGTTTCACACACATGCATGGGAGCTCTCACCATCTATGCATTTATTTTGGGGTAAAATTTGAATCGCAGAAGTGCGATTATTTTGAGGTGGGTTGAGTACATTTTAAGTAATCATGCATATCAATATATTTTAAGTAATCATTAGTCAAAATCTAGTAAGTTTGATTATTTCCAATACTAATTATGGTAAACAATATTTTTTTTAGATGAAAGAAGAATTATGTTAAATCATAGATGAATACATCATCACGTTACAAACACTCTGAAATACACTATGCATATTCAGAAAACGATCAACTAAATTATAAGTCACTTTATTTTTTTTTCATCCATTTTGGTATATATCTAGACATAACATTAGGCCTCGTTCGCTTGGCTGAATTTAGCTGAAAAAACAAGCTAAAACACTGTTCCGACTGAATTATTATGAGAGAAAAATACTGTTTTAGCTGAAAAAAAGCCGAACAAGCCGGATTTTAAGACAAGCGAATGGAACAATGCATAATAAAATGGATGTATAAAAATTTGGAACAGAGGAAGGACATACTTTAGTACTTTTCTTTAAAAACGGACGTATTGGCGTTGGCGTAGTAAGCATTTATTATATTGCGGAGCGCCGATGCCGCACACAAGAGAAGACCATTGATTGAAAAGGCGGTGGAACAAGTTCGCGACCGAACACCGAACCCTGTAAATCACACGTGACGAAGAAATGTGCGTGCGCTCGAGGAACTCACGAGAGACGAGACGACCCGCTCAAAGCCGCACGCACGCACGCATGCGCGCGCGCTCAGCTGATACCGGTGACGACGCAGCGCGCGGTGGATTAGGTTGCCCGCATTTAGCTAGATTCCATCAGGGTCAGGCTGCGGCGTTAGTCAACAGTCAGCACCGCCCGCCCTTTTTCTTCATTCAAGCTTTCGTATGACTGATAAGCCATGATTAAAAGTATTAGTAACTAATTTATTATAAGAGAAAAATATTGTTCGTTGATTAAAAAAATACGTCTTATAAGCTCAGCGAACATGGCACGTGTCCAGCTACGGCTACGAACTGAAAAGCGGTTGTGTTCGGACGCCCAACTCAGCGACTCGATCGATCGCGCTGGGACGCACGCGGCTGCTTTCAGGCCACCAGGTCAATCGCCATTCGGCAGGGCCGGCCGGCCGATCGGATCGATCGATTCATCGGTGCACATTGACTGACTCGTTGGTACGCGACGTGTCGTCCCGTCAGTCTCGCGTACGGGTTTCGTGTCTTGTCCCCGTGCCTATCTGCTGCCCGCTCGTTCTGGCCGTGGAATATGCTTATTGGCCAGGCGAATCAACCAACTGGTAACCATGAGGCTAACACAGCTACTGTAGAATTTTCAAATGACCTAGAATGTTGACATGGTCATACCAAATCTGTAGTAGTTGATATGATCTATAATCTTGTAGTTCATAAGATTTTTATTTAAAGTCATTTAGAGCGCGTGCGAGGCCAAGCTCTATACGCACGCCGGGTATAAAATAGTCCCTCCGTCCATTTATCTTCTTCTCGTCTAAGCATTTTTTTCCTAAAAGTCTCCTTCTTATTAGTCTGGCATCATAGGTTTGGCTTCTCATATATGCTACGTATTTAGTGCTCATTAGCTGCTCTTTGTTGTCTGCATTTATTGCTCCTTGGCTACGACTCCTTGGCTGCTCCATACCTTAAATGCAAATCCGCGTTGTTTACTTCTCCTTGGTCATTGCGCCGAAGGCTAATACGATGGAGACTTAGGCCTTGTTTGGATCCCATGGCAAAACTTTAGCCTTTTTTTTTGCAATGGGGATCAAACGGGGGAGCTAAAAGTGAACAAATGGTTAAAAATCGGGCTAAAATCTTTTACTCCCAAAGATGTCCTAAACTGGGCAAAACTCCCTCAGGGCGGGCGCTGGACGTCCCATATTCATTACCGCTCGTATACATGACTGTGCATGGATAATTAAATAAGGATAAATTAGTCATGATAGATTAGATGACTAAAATTTAGCCCATAAATTCAAACAGCCCAACAGAACTAAAATTTAGGAGCTAAACTTTAGTTCTCGTACTTGTACTAGTGATGCAAAACCACCTTATGGACGGAGGGAGTATACGTATACAGGTATGATTAGTCAAAATCCTAAAAGGTGCGGTGTTTAATCATGCATATGCCCCGTCAACAACGTAGACATCGTCGTGCTCATCAAGGTCACCAGTATCCTTTCTCCGTCGTCGTTCCGATCCCCAGCTAGAGCCTAGAGCGGCTAGCTATACGGTTGAAAGTGTGGTGACTTTACAGCGAGGGATAAGATGCTGATGGATGTGCTGCGTACCGGTTGTGGTTGTGTACACTGTCACCCATCTATCGATGCTGATGTACACTACTCGTAGCCACCGTACCCATCTAAAAAGTAGATGGTGGATTAATAAAGCTGGTGGAAAAGCCGATCGATCAACCGTTGCGTCACCATATATTTCGAGTAGTATTTAGTTTGCATGGTAAAGTATTCGGTCTCTCGATCACCTCCAAACAACTGATGACCATCTTTTTTTTTTTTTGCGATGAACTGATGATCATCTGATCTGGCGCATAATTATGCTTTATTTTTGCATGCACGGTGAGATGAACCGTGTGGCAACAAAAAAAAAGATGCACCTTTCGCTAAAAGTGTACGCGTGACTTCACACACACACACACACAAAGGGATGAGAGGCAAGCTGGCCGATAAGAAGAAAAAGGAATGCATGGCATGCATGATGAGTCATACCCACACGTTGTTCTTATCTAGAAACCAGTAGCAGTACGTACGTGTTTACGTATGCATGAATCACCACCTAGCAACTAGCATCATTACTTCTAGTTCTAACTATAGCAGCTATACTAGTAATTTAACTATGGCTTCCTAGCTTTCCTAGTTGTGAGTATGTACGTACGTGATGGCCTCCTCAGTTTAAAAAAGGGGTCACCTAGCTGCTTCCATCCTGTTATTAATACGCACAACTAGAAGCAGTTTAATACATCCATAGGTACGTACGTCCTATATGGCTGGCTGGCTGGCTGGCTGGCTGTCTCTGGATCACTCGGCACAGGGAAAAAGAAGTAATATTCTCTATTATAATGGCGTCTGATTAGGAAGAGCCCAGCTGGGGGCGAAAGCGCTCGCTAACCTAACTCCATTTACGATCTCAGTCCAGCGGGCATTTGTTTAAGGGGGTCTAGACGCTTCTAACGGTTTCTTTATACTTTGTGCTGCCCTGATGAGGTCGATCGCCCATTAATTTAACTACAATGGCTTCGTTAGTCTATACCGGACAGGAATATGTTAAACGAACAAGTGCAGTGCACGATTTAAAAATTGTTACAGTACTATTTGATGACAGGCTTGATGGCCAAGGCCCATGATGTTGAGTTTGCCGAAAGATTCTAACCGTGTAGGCCCTGTTTCGCAGAGCTTTCAGAGCTCATTCTCTGTTGAACTCAGCAGGAGCTGCTAAATAGTTTTTTTTTACAAAGAAAAGTGATTCTCCGTTGATTCTGTAAAATGATTCTCTAAAATGAACTAACGTAGCGTTTGGTTCGGTCCCATGTAATGTTATACGTTTACAGCGTTAACCATGCATTTGCGTTAAAAAATGTTTGTTTCATGGAATCGGCTACCGTCCAATACAAAACTGATACCGCTGCCATCCTAGCGTAGTCGATGCAAAGCCCATCGTCTTCGTTGTCTTTCGCGTTACTGTGGTTCCCATCCATAGCGCCGCGCCGCCACGAGCCCACAAGGCCACGACCCCCGCCGCTCGTTGT